GGCGACTACCAGAAGTACATGTCGGATTTCCAGCAGTACATGAAGGGACAGGGCGGCAACGGTGACTACCAGAAGCTTGCTCTTCTCCAGCCACAATCTTGAAGCTTTTTCACTTGTTTGTTGTTTTTTCCTCTGCACTGTTGGTCAGAATTGCAATAGACGGCTGTGGTGAATGCCGCTTTTGTGATCTCGTGTGGCTCTGCATGTGCGACAGTCAGGAAGTACATGTCCCAGTACGCCTCGGATTTCAACAAGTACATGCAAGGCCGTGAGGGGATGGGTGGTTTGTCAATGTCCGCCTAAGGTGTACGGTTGCAGTTTGCAAGGGCCAGATCCAGATTGACCTTGGCTGCTTGGTTCAGGGTTCTCTGCGCCTGCTGTTGGATTCGAAGTTGTGAGGAGCTTCTAAGAATCGGGGGACTACTGTTTGCAGTCTAGAGTAAGTTCATGGTTTCGCACGGCTATAGCTGCTGCCGTCTGACCTGTGCAACCGGGTTCACGCGCAAACATTCGGTGTTTTTTTGGACGAAAGCCTGGTTCTGTTCTGAAGGCCAGGCAAATGGCGCGCAGGGCAATTACCAGAAGTACATGTCGGACTTCCAGCAGTACATGAAGGGACAGGGCGGCAACTACCAGAAGCTAAGCTTCCGAAAGCCAGTCTTTCGATGTTTTCAGACGCTTTTTTTTGGTGATGACTTTTATGTGTCTCCAACTCTCAAAGGAAGTTTAGCTGTCATAGCTTCGTGGAAGTAAGGAAGTTCATGTCTCAGTACGCGTCGGACTACCAGAAGTACATGCAAGGCAGGAGCCGGGGTGCGGATGCAAGTTGCTTTGGCCAGCTTGATCTTTGGTTCTTGGTTCATATTCTATCTACTTAAGGAGGACTAAAGGCTTCGAGGTTTAGGGGTGGATGGCGGCGGGGCCCGGACATCCCGTGAGAGTTTATGGGCTACTCTGCGTCCAAAAGGGGGTTTCCAATTTGATCCCTTAAGATCCTGTGGGGATTTTGTGGTTGGGGTGATTTGAAAATCTTGTCTTAAGATTTCTGGGGTTGGGATAGTCGCCCGGCTTCTTAGACCCTAAACCCAAAATCCTAAACCCTAAACCCGTAAAAAGCACTTGAAGCCTCAACATTCCAGGTTGCCATGAGGCTGGTGTTGTAAAGACTGGCTGAAAGCTTTCTCAGGGGTGGACCCTAAACCCTAAACCCTAAACCCTAAACCCTAAACCTTAAACCCTAAACCCTAAACCCCTCAACCCTTAAGCGCTTACCGATAAAAAGATCCTCTCTGGGTTGAGTGCTTCACTGAAGTTGTGGCTTTACTACCCTTAATTCCTATGTAGACCGTTGAAAGCCATAAAAGATGGATTTGTTTAGGGCCACCAAACCTACCCTAGGACTGAAACCTTGAGTTTGCTTCCTGTTGTTTTGTGGAAGTGACGGTCTTGATTCTTCTTGGTTCACCCGTTGTTGTGAACACACAGCATTTTGGCATATTTTGCCATCGCCTGCTTTTTGATCTCTGTGCTGAAGGCCAAGCGAATGGTGCGCAGGGCGACTACCAGAAGTACATGTCGGACTTCCAGCAGTACATGAAGGGACAGGGTGCCAACGGCGACTACCAGAAGCTCAATCTTATTCCCATATATCCCTATATACCCATATATCTCTTTGTATCCCTAGGCAGCCGCTAGCCCTATGCTGATAGATTTGTGTCAGTCTTTCTTTCCATGTTTCCGTTTGGCTGTTGTTTCTGTCAGTTTCGAATTGCAATTTTCCTGGCTGTCGGGGCAGTTGAGGAAGTTCATGTCCCAGTACGCCTCGGACTTCCAGAAGTACATGCAAGGCGATTCAGTTTAAATGGGACAAGAAAGGTTTTGGGCACAGTGCGAGTGACAAAAATGGAAAAGGAAATGGAATCTACTATTTATGGTGTCAATGTTTGGTACCACCTGCAGCTTACACGGGCGAACTCCACTGTTGGTAGTCGGTTCAGTTGGTTTGCGGCCTGCGGTTTGGGATCTCATCTCCGAAGATTTGTCCCTCAGAACTTCCTCGTGAGGAATGTGGAGAATGAGCGTTGGGTCGGGTGGTCACGTTCTCTCCTCTCCGCAGTTTTGGAGCTCCTGAGTGTTGCCAAGGGGATTGGATGGAAAATATGGTCTGAGAGTCAAAAAACGCTCCAGCTGTGTCAGGGGTGCCTTTTCTGTGCGTTTCTGCGTGCGTGTGATTTGTTGAGCCCGTTTCTTTCGTGGTGGTCGGGCTCGTTGTGTCAGACACCTGAAGGAACGGACCTTCTGAGTGCATACAGTTAGAACATTGTCTTTTGGCCCAGGCATTGTGCCCAGGTGCCTGCTGACAGATGATCACCAATGTTTTTTTGAACGGCAACGGGGGCAAGTGCTGGGATTATGATCTTACAAAACTTGCACTGATCATCTAGCAGATGGCGAGCGTCCAGTACCTTAAGTATTCTGAATCCTAGCATTCTTGCGACGGTTGACCGGTGGCTTTTTTTATTTCAATGTCATTGTGCGTCACTCGGTTCATTCATGTTGTACTTTCGTTTGTTCTGAAGGCCAGGCAAATGGCGCGCAGGGCGACTACCAGAAGTACATGTCGGACTTCCAGCAGTACATGAAGGGACAGGGCGGCAACTACCAGAAGCTTACTTCGCAGAGCCAGGTTTTAGATGCTGGTTTCGCAGACTTTTGAGGTTTCAGTCGTCATGGTCTTGGTTTCGTGGAAGTAAGGAAGTTCATGTCCCAGTACGCGTCCGACTTCCAAAAGTACATGCAAGGCCGTGATCGGCATAATGTGCAGCTTGCAGGGGCTGGTCAGATCGAGACCTAGACTGATAGCCTCCCTTAAGTAAATAGAATATGGGGTATATGGGGATCTTATTATATTATACCCTTATTCTATCTGCAAGTCAGGGGGACATTACAACTCATTTGTTTGTGGTCCCTAGAAATCTCCTAAGCTTGTGGGAGTTGGGCGGCGGTTGGGAGAATCAAGTGGGGCTTAGCTACACCTTCTTCGTATGTGACAGCCACCAGCGGTGTTTAGTATCCTCTGACTTAGCATGACGAGCATTGCGCTCTTTGTACTGACTACTTTGACAGGAGTATGTTTCCTTTGGCGACGGCGTGCCTCTTGATGCGTCTTGCTGTGGTAGTTATTCGGAGGGAGGATGAACAGCAGCAACGCCACCTCTTTGATACCCTCCCACACTGTACATCAATCCCGCAGAATTGCATTTTTTTAAAAAATACGGAGTCTGTTTACAATTTCTATAGTGTAACGGCAGCATCTAAAGTAATTAGCATCTTCCTGAGCTCTGTCCGCATCATGGTATGTTAAAGCTTTTGGACCTTTGCTTCTTGAAGGCCAGGCAAATGGCGCCCAGGGTGACTACCAGAAGTACATGCCGGACTTCAAGCAGTACATGAAGGGCCAGGGCAGCCAGGGTGACTACCAAAAGCACCTGGGCTTGTGTTGATTGGAATTGGTTCAGGCATCCCCCACAACAACTACACAGCCCTTAACCGAAGTCCAAGACTTTAGGCGTTGATTCAGATTCTGACACATGGAAACTTTTGTATCGCAGTCACTGAGCCGATGACGCAGGGTACATATGCCTAAGCCCTGCATCCTCATCCTCAGAACCCTGAATGCTACATCCAAAAAACCCAACGTCCGCAGCCCTTCATCTGGGTTGCTGTTAAGGAACTTAAATTAAGTTACTATATTGGGGAAACCCTATTATTTACTATATATATATATACCCATTATGGTAACTTAATTTAAGTTTCTTAATAGCAACCCGGTCATGCAAGGTACATGTCTGATTACAAGAAGTACATGCAGGGCCAGGG